TCGTTTAGATCAACGGTCATCACTCTCATCTTCTGGAGTTCATCCTTGAGATACGTAATCTCTTTTTCACGTTCAGCAGACCGATGTTCCAACAGGTTCATTCTTCCTTTTTGAGCTTGGTATTTCTTGATGATTTCTACAGCTTTGAGACACTTCTCTATGGCATATTTGTGGAGTTCTAGGTTCTCCTCAGCAGGATCAGAGAACTCCTCAGATTCAGCATCGCTTAGGTTCTTTGCGTAAGAACATGCATCAGATTCAACATCAGTAAGATGCACAGAGGATGTAAAACAGTTATATTCACTAAGAAGACATTTAACAAAGTTATTAGAATAGTGAAAATTTTCAGTCTTCTCAGATTCTTCATTCTCCTCATCACTGCAGTCGGACCACGTTGCCTTGTAGACCTTGTTCTTTCTCTTGAAGTTTGGACATTCCTTCTGAAAGTGACCGAACCCTTTGCATTCCCGACACCGATCCCTTTCAACTCCTTGGTCGATGTTCTGAAGCTTGTTATGTTGTACGTTGGGACCTCGCTCACCAAGTTGCTGAAACGTGTTCTTACCACCTTCAGAGGGCTTGTTTCCTTGAAACCTTATCTTCTGTAATTTCTTCAGCTTTGAGGCATTTTTAGTAAGAAAGGTAAGGGCCTTCATGATCTCATCAGCATCAAAGGATTCTTCATCTGATTCTTCATCTTCAGCAACTGCAGTACGAACCTTGGCTTTTAACGCTAAGCCTTTCCCTTTGCTTATTCTCATCGAGTCAAAACCATGGTTGATTTCAAAGGTACGCAATTCACCGAGAAGGTCATCAATGCCCAGCTTTTGAATTCTCTGAAAACTCTCCAAAGCTATGATCTTAATTCCAAATCTATCTGGTAGAGTTCTCATTAACTTCTGCACTTGTCTTGCTTCTGGAACCGGTTCACCAAGCATTGCGCTTTGGTTTACTAGATCGCAGAAACGGGCATAGTACATGTCAATAGTTTCATCATCCCTCATGCGAATCTCATCAAGCTCAGTAGAAACTCTTTGGAGCTTTGAGGTTTTCACCGCGTTTGTACCTTCAAATTGTCTTTCCAAGATCCTCCAAGCTTCTTGAGCGGTTTTGCACTGGATGATTATTTTGTGACGAGTGGGATCTACAGCAGACATGATAGCATATAGAGCCCGAAAATTAGCTTCTTCGGCTAGTCTTTCATCATCAGTCCAAATACCCCTTGGTTTTTCAACCAGAACTTTTGTAGCTGAAGTTGACGACTTTCCATCCGAGGACTCACCTCCCTTAGACTCAGCAGGAACTTTTTCCATGAGAGATAACGTCCAACCAGATTCAACGGCCTGCCACGTGCCTTTACCAAGAGATCGAAGAAAGATCAACATCATGGATTTCCAGTATGCATAGTTAGAACCATCAAGAAACGGAGGGCGCAAAACGGACATCCAATTGTGACTCATGGTGACCGACACACAGTCCCAAAGATCTTTATCCCGTAGTTAGAACAGGAACACTGCTCTGGTGCCAATTGAAACGTACATTTTTAATTTGAGTGCGCGAAATATAGTACGAACTAAAACAAGAACTGTAGAATGCGGAAGCAATAAACCGAAGATTTAAAAAACTCTTCAGGGAAGCGTCGCACTTCCCCTCAGAGCTCTTTCATTGATAAACCGTTCACACTTGTATAGTTTGGACTTATACGACTCGAACTCCCTTCTAGTCTTAGCCACAACTACACACGATCCTATCAACTACTTCTCCGGCCACGTCCCGTGGACGTTACACACTCGAATTCCTCGAGCAAAACCCAGTACTTAATCCCTAAGCACTAAAATAAAGTGTTTGTAAAAGAAAATAAACAAAACGAGTTCAGTTCTTCAGCAATGTAAGAACGTTGAAAAACTGGACCGAATAAAATAAAAATAATAGAAACTTTCAAACACTCAATTGAAGCTGATGAATAATGAACTCGATTTGCAGCACCTCTCTTATCTTCAATTGATTGCTTGAGTAGCTTATATACAACCTCCTTAAGGTAAGGAGTTTTCACAGTTCTTCATTTACCTTTTAGGAGTCAATTTCCTTCTCAATTGATTTTTTTCTGATTTGGACGAAATCCTCCATGTAAGGTAAGTTTTCTTGATGTAGAAATCGTGTATGTGATTCGGAGATCTTCAGAATTGAGCTTCCAATGGAATCTTGCGTTTTCAGAATCTGGTAAGAACATGACTTTCCAAAATTAGCCGATCTTCCAAATCTTCAAAGATCTTGTGGTGAATCTTTCCAAATCCTCCTTAGATCTTCTCATGAACGTCCAGAACTCTTCTTGTATGGAAAGCTCATCTTTTCATAGTCCTTGCCACCTATTCCTTGTCCTACAAGAAAAATAGAACTAATTATGGCATATGGCATATATGGTAAGTAAATATATAAGATATATATTATGTAATCCTTCTCCTAAAGGATTAGGATTCCATAATACATACTACAATAAATATATACCATATATTATTAATAATAAATATTAGGAACTTAATTAAATCACAAGTAAATAAATAGAAAAACTTCCATTTAATTTATTTTGCTTGCTTAACAAGAAATCTTCTAGAAAACACTTAGGTTTGTCGGACACAATGCCAAACCAATGTTCTTACAGAAAGATATATGGTATCGGCAGAAAAAATATTATATAAAGTTGAATTAACATTCTATTTAGTATATATCAAGTTGAAATATATACTGTTAAATTTTGAAATCCAAAATCAATTATACCGTGGCTGATGTCAATTTCGATTTTGTTGAGGGATTCTGATATCATTTAAGTTTATTTTTTCTTTTAATTATTAATTTTTGTTTTTTATGTACTTTCTCATGATATATAATAGTCATTTAATTAGTAAATAATAGTTAGTAGTTTTACATATAACTATAACAGTACCCGTGTATTATACGGGTGTTTGTTAAAAAATTATTTTTAAATTTTAAAATTAATGAAAAAAATTATTTTAAAGTTTAGTTATTGCTTTACAAAAAAAAAATACTATTATATATTTTAGAATGACACTTGTTACTTTTTTAATTGATAAATAATTTTATTTTTCTAATATTAATATTAAAAAACAATTTTATTATTGTTATAAAAATAAATATAATTTATTTTTTTATAAATGTAATAGGGTTAATTCGAAGATCAGCAATATATGATTAATTTGTTATATTATATATGTAAAATTGATAAAAAAAAATACAAAAGTAATTAACTTTTAAAACACATTTAGAATTCAGTGGTTATATAATAAGAAATAATGTTAAAATACAATTAATACATGTAACATGACCATAAATAATCGACATATTTTTTTATTATTGGGACCTAATTATTTTTAAATTGAAAATAAATTAAAATCTATTCGAGCCTAATAACGAAATATGTAATTTTGTTATATAGGATCTCGAAGCATGTGAGTCTGTCACTTAAGCTCAGCACGTTTGAATTAATATATAGGCGGATATTTCAAACTTCGTAAAACTTTATGGTTCTCATGTATAATATATATATTTTGAATATAGTTATTAATTGATTATTCTTGATGAAAATGATCACTTTGATAGCCCAATATAATTTTTTAGGATTGAATCCAACACTTATGGATGAGTCAAAGTCCATTATAATTCAGTAGGATTGAATCTGACACTTATGGATGATTCTGTTATGAGCTACTATTGATAAAATATAATTTTTTTTTTCCTTCTTTTAACAATTCGTAATAAAAATTATATAAGATATAGAAATTCAGTCATAAAAATCAATTTCGGTATATAATTGATGATTTTAATATAAATTTAATTGACAAATCAACTACAAACCAAAACTATCTGATTTTTTTGTTACAAATCCATGCCAATTATTTTGAGATCATATAGTAATTAAAATCGAATTCGAAATATTTATTCCATTTATTTATTGCATTACTAATGTCATACATAATAATATTATATACAATATATATTAAATCATATTAAAAAATGAATTACAACAAAACAATTCTTATATATAATTCACATTTCCACATATATATATAGCTACTGAAAAATTATTGTGAACTAACTGCCAATTTTGAAGACATAAAACCCCTATAAAAATGTAACACTGTCGATTTCATTTCTTATTTTTAAATTTCTGTTTTTATTTTTTTCCTTTATTTCAGAAAAATGCAGTTCTTTTGGTTAAATTTAAAATCATTTATATTTATTTTCTCTGTTAATTCATTAATCTTTAGTATTTTTGGTGGATTAATTAATCTACCAAATAAGAACAATTCAATTTCAGCCTTCATAGTATTTGGAGATTCAAACTTTGATACTGGCAACAATAATTACATAGTAACAATAGCCAGAGCCAATTTTCAGCCTTATGGTCAGGATTTTATGGGAGGGCAGCCCACTGGAAGATTTTCTAATGGAAAAGTTTCATCAGATCTTTTTGGTATGCATGGGCTCGACTTTTGTAATACGTTTTTTTTTTTACGTAAATGCACGTTTATGTTATGAAATTTCATACTTTTATTTATTTTTGATATATGATATTTCGATTTGATAGATGTGTGTGTGTATATATGTATATATGCTAAAATATAATATTTTTGTTCATATATATATATATATATTTTTTTTTTCAATATATGATATTTCAGTATGAAAATATGTGTGTTTTTTTTTCTTCATACTCAAATGAAATATTTCAAAAAAATAAAAAAACAAAACAACTTCGCTTTTGTACGTCAAATGGAAATGCGCATTTTATGTTCGAAAAGTATGATATTTCATAACAGAATAACACAATGTTGTGATGATTTTGAAATGTATGGTCCTTTCCACATTTAAAGTGTGACTATCAGTTTTGACAATTAAATATTTTCTAATTATATTAGTTTTTTATTTAATAATAATAATAATAATAATATCATAATAATAATAATAATAATAATTAATTGCAGCTGAGAAGTTGGGAATTAAGCCAGTTTTGCCTGCATATCTTGATCCAAATTTACAAGATGAAGATATCTTAACTGGGGTGTCCTTTGCGTCTGGAGCTTCAGGATATGATCCTATAACATCTAAGCTCACGGTATTTTTATTTTTATTTTTATAGTTTTGTTTTCAATATCAATTGATTTTTAATGTCATATATTGCAAATTGGGAAAATTGCAGTTTTTTGTCTACAAATTGTTCTCATTTTTGTTTTGCAGTTCGAAATTGGTCCAATAACTATTTATCTAAAAAATAAAAGAGTAATTGGATCAATTTTGGAGCAAATAACTGCTGGATTCAGGCGTTCGAACTCGGAATTGAATCAATTGCTAATATTGAAAAGCTATCGGACCAATTTCGAACCCCAATAAATAATGAGAGACGGTCTAATTTAATTGACCAAACTACAATTTTCTCATTCCATTACAATTAAATAGAGTATGTTGCGAATTCAAATTTGAGAATTGTACCTCTCAGCCAACTAGGTTTCATATTTTTCAGAGAGTTAGTCAATCTAGTTGAAAAATTAGTCGATAGTTGATAAGTTGGTTGAAAGTTTTAGGAGTGAATAATCACAAACTTATATTTGATAAGTTATGTATAAATAATTAGCTAATATAATAGAAAAAAACGTTTGGTAAAATTAATCGTTAAGTCAGCTAAAATTTTTTATTGGTTTATTTATTTTTTATTTTTTTAATGCTAGCTAAAAGAAAAAGATAGGTTCCAACTTTTGTAAAATATTTGTTATACTACCAAATCAATTTTGAATATCCAATTCAAAATTTGAATATAAGAAACTGTTATGGAGTCATTGGATGACAAGATTTATGGAGCCATTTACAATTATTTACAAATAATGTACTGACACATGTCCTACAATAAATACACTTTGGACATATATCAGTGCATCTAGTTATAGATGACTCGATAAGAGAATCATTCGCTGGATCCATAGAATTTATTAAGAAGTTTATAAGCGAATCAAATAAACTACAAATCAACTTACGGTACTCATCAAATACAACATAAATCTTGACTAATTATTTTTTTATTAAATCAAATTTATTTGAATGTAGAAGTTTATAAGTTAACTAAATAAAGTATATTGCAATCTTTTTTTTTTTAATCTATTTAATTAGTTTGACACATGCAGTCAACAATTTCATTAAGTGATCAGATTGAAATGTTCAAAGAATACACAACAAGGCTCAAGAAAATAGTTGGGGAGGAAAAATCATCTCAAATTGTGAGGGAAAGTCTGATTGCATTGATTACTGGCAGCAATGACTTAACGTTTACATATTTTCTTACACTTGAAAGAAGGACTCATTACGACATTCCTTCTTACATCGACCTATTGCTCAACTTTGCTATCACCTTCATCGAGGTAAGTGAAATGTAAAGGTCTAATGGTTAGACGGGTCGATTTATCGTGTTTCTGAAACAAAAAAGTATGATTATATTATGAAATCACGTACTTTTGTTCGAGTTATTTTCCAAATCACACATGGTTTTCCTTAGAAATTATTTTAAGAACGTAAATGATATCGTTAGGCCGCCTAATCGCTAAACGATTATACTTCCTTAATGGAAATGTATTTTTATAGTATGAGATGTCATATATAGCGTTTTATACTATTTTTTAACTAAGCCATTTTAGTTTGAAAATATTTAAATATATTGAAAAAACAAAAATGCTGGTGTTGGGTTGTCTAACCGTTAGACAACCATACATTTCCACAAAAAAAAAAAATATGTATTCTATGATCGAATATCACACTTTTGTTTAATTATCGCATATTTTTAAAGTATGACATTTCAGTACAGAAGTATGTAAATTTATTGACAGGGTATGACCGTCCAATCATAACTACCTAACACAAGACATACCGTTTGAAAAAAATATAAATAAAATGACTTCAGATTGTGTAACTGCATCATTATTATTTCAAAAAAAAATAAAAATAAAAAATAAAATAATAAAAATAAAAATGCATGCTCTTATGAACCCTACTCATGATTATATAGGAGCTGTACGACTTGGGGGTGCGTCGGATCGGAATTTTTGGTTTGCCGCCTATAGGGTGGATGCCGTCACAACGAACTTTATGGGGAGGACTCAAACGAAAACCTGTTAATGAATACAACCAAATTGCGGAATTATTCAACACAAAGTTGTCAGATGAACTAGGCTCGCTCAATAAACAATACCCTGAAGCTAAGATTATTTATGTGGACGTTTACAATCCCGCTCTTGATATTATTCAAAACCCGAAAAAATATGGTACGTGCTCATCGCATATATATTTCCGATAGTATTTTTTTCTTTCTTATGAATTAGAATAAACTCAAGAGTAATATCTATAATGTCACAGGCACCAGCCTAACATTTTTTATTTTGGAAAGTGTGGAGAATTTGTGTAGTTTTGATACTTGATGGAGTAATAATCAAATTGAGGTGTACTTAATTTTGATATCTAATTGACAACTTGAATACGTGCCACATAACTTGAGGCTGCCGAGACGGGTTGAGTCGTCATACTTTTTGTACAACGAAATGTCATACTTTAGTTTCGTATAAAAGTTATGTTGTGCATATATTATTGATAGATGTGTTTATCTGTCTATCTAACAATTAGAACTGTCTGACATTAGTCCTATTGACTTGAAATTTATGACAGGCTTCGAGATTGCCGATAAGGGATGCTGCGGAACAGGGTTATTCGAAGTGGGTTTTCTTTGCAAATCCGCGTGTGGTAATGTATCTGAATACATATTTTGGGACAGTTTTCATCCAACTGAGAAAGTGTACAGAATTCTTGTACAACATGTTCTAGATCAATACCTCACCAACTTCATATGAGGAAGCTCACTCTTGTAGATGGCTCTAATTAAAATATAATGTTCAGTATTTTCATCACATGTAAAGTACTAAAATATCATAAATCGATTTTATTGGCATCAATAAGAAGTAAAAATTTACATTTACGAGGTTCTGTTGACATGTGATGAGTGTTAATGTTCTATTGACATGTACCAAAATGTTTTCTAAACAGTCATCAGATTCTATATTGAATTCTATAGAAAATATGTTCAATTATAGTCCCGTTATTGTAGGTGTGTCATAAGATTGCTCTAAAATTTAATTATTCATTTGGATCTAAAGGTTATATGGTAGTCAAATTGGACCTTGAAAAAGCATTTGGCAGGGTTGAATGGGGGTGTATTCATGTGATTTTAACAAAGATGGGCTTTCATAAGAGGGTTGTGCAATGGATTATGGCATGTATCTCTTCTGCTACATTTTCTTTCAAAATTAATGGCAGGGTTAAAGACTATGTTTCTGCTACCAGAGGTCTTAGACAGGGGGACCCATTATCCCCTCATCTTTTTATCTTAGTAGCATAAATTTTTTCTAAACTCCTGTACTCTGAAGAGTCAAAAGAAAATTTTAAAGCCCTTAAAATCTCAAGACCAGGTCCTTCAATATCACATTTGCTTTTTGCTGATGATGCTCTTGGTTTATGTGTGTTGCTAACAATCACCATGCTACTCTTCTCCTGCATCTGCTTGATATCTATAAAAAGTTCACAGGGCAGAAGGTCAATCTGAATAAATCCTCAATCTTTTTTTTAGCAAAAATTGTTCTCCAGCTCTTAAAGAGAGCATATGTAACCAGCTCATGGGTATCCAGATGCACAATTCTGCAAGATATATGGGACTCCCATTGGGTATTGGTAGATCAAAGAAATATGTTTTTGAATTTGTCATCAAGGCTGTAAGATCTAAGCTGATTAATTGGAAGAATAATTTTCTCTCAACTGCTGGAAAAGAAGTCCTAATAAAAGTTGTTCTTGATGCATTGCCAGTATTTTTTATGTCGTGCTTTTGTCTCCCTAAGTCTGTATGCAGAATTATTGCTAGCTTTTGTTCATCATTTTGGTGGAGCAAAGGTAAAGATCAAACATCTGCTATGCACTGGAAAGCATGGAAATTTCTTACTGTGCCAAAAGAAGCTGGAGGCTTGGGATTCAAAGACCTTTGTCTATTCAATGACTCTCTCATTCTGAAACAAATTTGGAGAATCCTAACAAAGCCAAACCTATTGGTCAGCAAAGTGCTCAAAGCAAGAATTGAGCTGAGAGATGGCATTTCCACCAAAATATGGGAACACCCTTGGGTCCATTCACTCACAACAAGAATTCAAAAACCTAAGCAAATGAGTCACTAGTGATCTGATCTAGGTTCATCAACTACTGGATCTTGATAGAAGAATTTGAATAATGACTTGTTGAGGAAATTGTTTAATGAGCAAGACATCAGAGCTACTAAAAAAATAAATACCTTAGACCCTTTACAGAAAGACAAGTGGAAATGGGCTATGGACTCAAAAGGAACATTCTCAATTGCAAGTACTTATTCTTATCTCATCAAGAAGAAGCTGTTGACACTGGATGTATCTAAAAGCAGCTTATCAGCTGAGAAACATAAAAATGTGAGAAAAAGAAGTTGGACTTTGAAGATAAAAAATAAACTGAAGCACTTTTTGTGGAGATGCTACACTAACACCCTGCCCACAAGCCTTAATCTCAAGAACAGAGGCATGGAAGTTGATCATATATGTCAATGTTGTGGTGATGAATTAGAAACAGTGGAACATATTATGCTGCTTTGTCCAAGAGCCCCAAGAGTATGGCACATAGCTCCTGTACAATGGGATGGCATAACTAAAGAAGCTTAATGTTTCAAGACCTGATGGTGGATGGTTTGTTCAATAGATAGGTCAACAACCTCCCAAGATAGGATTCAGCTCACAACTTACATTCTTTGGTGTTTGTGGAAGTCAAGAAATCTACAGAAATTCAAAAACTCTTTAATGCCTGAAGCTGAAGTGATAAAAGCTGCTCTTAAGGATTGGACTGAATTCAAAAGTTGCTGCTAAGTTACATTGATGGATTACTAGGTCCTTCTGAGGTTCAATGGTAATCTATTGGTTTAACTTGGACTCTTCTGATGATCTTATATTATATGTGTTTATCAAGATGGATATTGCTTGCTAAAGTTCTCAGTTGCTTTGTTGCTGCTTTAGCTGGCTACTATGGAGGGAATGCAGATATCTCATTTGTATGGCTGTAGATTATCTAATGTGTTTTTCAGACTTGTTTATTGGTTGTAGTTGTAGGATAGAGAATGGTCAGTTAGGTTTGGGTTAGTAATTAGTTCTTACTATGTTTGTTATGTAATTTGTGAAATTGGGGGGTCAACTGACCTCCAGGCGGTAAATATTTCATATTTTGAGCAATAAATTCTGCCGTTTTGAAAAAAAATATTTCCAGCATATGTAAAGTAGCAGAATACGATAAATGTGGATCTGATGTGTCAGTTAACAGGACACATGGAGTGACACATCAATCCGTGAGACACGTGGAATTCGGTAGAAATTTGCCTTATTTTAACTAATTTTAAACAAAACTATTATTGGTTAATTGAAGTGAAATTATGACAGCAATTATTTTTATTTTGATCAAGTTCATAATTCATATATATATATATATATATATATATATATGGATGGTTGAGTTCACATGAGAATCGCGATTAGTGACAAAAATAAGAATAAGTCGTAGCCATTAGATCTGATGATTTCATGGCTAAAAAAAGCTAAAATTATACATTCATTAAAAGTATTATGGACATCACCATTACTCATTCAATTAAACCACTACCATGTCACCATGCCACGTCACCCCCTCTTTATCACATACACACACAAAACACACACGCGCACACACACAC